ATCATAGTGATCACCCTCTTCTTTTAGTAAAGCTATGAGTCAGATAGAGTGTCTTATAAACAAAAGCATTATCTGTTTTAGCTAATACAAAAGGTCAAAAACTTTTCTAGACTTGACGTCCTGCCATAGATATTTTCTAAAACCAAAGTTTATCGAGCCAGTCAGTGGTCCTGAATATCAAACACATGACTCATGTCAGAAAGCAAACATATAGACTATTCAGTTAGTAAGAAACAAGATCTACTAGACAAAGAGGTAACAACAGTAATTGTTATTTACATAGATCCTTTAAACTCAACTGACAGATAAAGCTAAACATGAAAATAAGTGTCCTTTTCAGGACAAACCGTCTGATATATAGCAACCCTGATTTTACTTGTTACCGTAACATTGTTTTGTATTCGTTAATTATATTTTCTGAGTCTATGGAAATTATAACATGAGATAATTAAACTTTTGACCAAATGTTCACTATCGTTTCTAAAACTATACATAATCTTACATACTGAGTTGGAATGAACATAATTTGTATGAAAGCTACTCCAATAAAATCATAAACTATGATACTTATAATACCTAATGTTTTTTAAGTATGATACTTGTTAATTTTACTTAGATGATAGTATCTTGGATTATGACGAAACGTGAGTTGTATATAAGATAATCACGTAATACTGTTGTGTAACTTATAATCTTTCTATAAAGTAAAATAATCGAAGAAGTTTAGTTAAAAATCGGTTATGTTCATTTGTGTATTTGGAAAACTATGAACTTTAAATGTACATAAAGTTTTGAAAGATGTAGAAATGAACACATAACGTTTTTTTTGTTTTTTTTCAATGTGACTAATAATCAAAAATCAAAATTTGTCATGGACTGGTATATTGAAATATCTCACAGTCCCACACTGTATGTGAGACCATGTGACGACATTCTAACAAATTGTTTTGGGTGAAATATCGCGGGTTCAAACCATACTGGTTCATTATTTCTTAATAACCATCCAAATTAAGAATCATTATTCTATATATGTATATATTATACATATTCTTGGTGATAGAGAAAACAAGCTTTAATCACTCATGAAATTTTATTAACAAAACAAGAGATAATACACATTTTACATTTAGCTTGGACAATGATACAATCAATTGGATTATTATATTTTACCTGCCCAATTATTAAGCCTTAACACTCAATTTTATTACTTCATAGAACAGTATTCATAAAGAATTACAATATATCAAATATCAATCAAACACTTGTTCTCTTACCTTAATGCTAACGTTAACTTAAACCATAATAATTTTAGTTACAAAATCGTAGATATCACATTTTATGGCTTATTTAGTATATGTTCTATTTTTAGACTGTGAAACGCCTTAGCTTTAGAGCAGGACGATGAACAGTAACATATGTGTGACGTAATATCTCACATATGTCACTACTGAACCTTCTGTTTTTGTTGAAAATGTTTATTTTTGGTGTTACACTTTCATATATATATTTTTTTTTTTTGGTAGGGATTTATACAGCATATGTAAAAAAGAAAGCCGTTTTTCATATACAACACATATGCGGTTTTAATCAGTAATGTAAAGAGGACATTGAAAGAACAGGTGCCATTCCCAAAAATACACTTTTCAATCGTTTTTTTTTTTCATTGGGTGGGAGGTGTTAGAGGAGACTGTGGGTTGCCTCTGGTATACATAGGATAAAAACCACAGAAGCAAACAGATCCTTTATTATTCTTATTCATTTGGTTTTATAAATCTTTTTATGATCTCAAACTAAAGGGAATTATTGCTTATTAACATTTAATAGCGTTACGTCTCTGTTCGTTTATTAATTTCCCGTAAAAATTCTTTCCGAAGAACTTCAGCGATACAAGTCCATTTTTAAATAAAACTAGTTTATTCTTTCTCAATTCAACTTTGCAATACACTTAATTTCCACAGTCATTTTAACTTCAACACACGCTATAATTCACAACGATTCACACACTTTACTTTCGGTCACTTGACTCAATTAACTGTGTCTATTATCTTCAATCTCTCTATCTGCTACTCTAGTTCCGATTAAATTCTCTCGTGCGTCTAGCAAACGCTAGGACGTTCAACAGGTTCCTCGATCTTTCTAGAACCCCCAGCGCATGCTCATAACAATAGCATATCAAAATTATTTTCTTACTATAAATACCCACAAGTTCCTGTGTTGCATTAATTTTAATGCTGAAATATTTTTATCCCTCACAAGTTGCAATAAGGAAGGAGTGGAATCAGGTGCATCTTTTCGTAGTTGTTGATAATTTTGATGACAGAGAAATAAGTGCACTTTTGGAGCATGAGGGTGGAAAGGCAGGGGTTTGAGCCCATCCACCCTTCTTAGTTATTTGTTATATATTAGAGATTTTGACTAAACAGAAGAGAGCTAAAGGCACGAGTGACAAGTTGTAAGTTATATTAATGTATGCTCTCGTTTCTCCAGCACTTGAATTATCTTCGTAACGTCTAGTGTCCCTCCAAAAGACTCCAGTGAAATGTAAAGGAAGTATCTCAAGACACTTCCCATGATGCCTTTAAGTAAGTTTCATGGAATTCCCAGTTGGCTGAATGTCTTATAACGTAGTTGAAATGCATCTTTGAAAACAAAAAAACAAGCAATTTTTCAAAACTTTTGATATCAAAATCTGAAATATATAACTTCGCCTTTTCGATAATGACTAAAATGGTTATGATGCATTTAAATTTGATTAATCTAAGAAAACAAAGTCAGGAGTTAGTATTGCATTACAGAACTGTACAAAAAAAAAGACGTGTGAACGTATACATACAGATTATAAGAAAATCAAAGCCTTTCAACAACAATGGAACATAGTGGTTATGGTAGTAAAGACGGACACCTAGTGACTGACAACAGAAACACTGTTCATGGGAAACTGCTCTATACTTCATCATCACTAGGGCGGAGCAGATTACACAATTAAGGTTAGAAGATGTGTAGCTTTACTATATATATATGTATGTATACACCATATATCTTATAAATGTTGGTGATGGGAAGGTTTTCCGTTATACGTCATCTCTGATCTTACTTTCGTTATATTAATAATAAAATCACTGATATGGTTAGTTGAATTGAACTAATATCATAATAGTTACATACGTTATTAGATGCTTTTGAGTTTGTCAACGAGCCTGTTTCATACATGTACATTTGTTGTTGATATGTATTTCTTGGGAATATTGCACAATCCTTACAAACATAACTATTAGTAACAATGGGTAATTTATCAAATAAAGTACAAAACGCTTTCCTTAAAGACCACTAACAATCACAAGATAGCCAGAATACGGGTGATCAGCAGGATGATCACAATACAGCTAGTACACAGACCGCCTAGATACAGCTGATCAGAAGAATGATTAGGATATAGATAGTCCAAAAGAAGACCATTTGTTGAGATAACATAAATAATAGTGTGAATATACGACGAGTACAAAATTTTGGTACATCCAACAAAAACTACGGCCTTACAACGACAAGAATGTTGCATACATGACTGATGTATTCACACTACATTGTAAAGGAAGTGCTCACACTGTACAATTTGCCTTCATACCATAAGTATGACGTGTACGCACTGTACTATAAAAGTTGTTTTCATATTGTACTAGGTACGATGTGTTCAACTGTATTATACACATCGCATTCATACAGCACAAGGTATGATATTGTTGC